TACTACACTATATGGCTTTATTTTCTCTCTGTGAATGCTTTGGAGTATAAGGAGGCAAGAGTACTGGAAAGAGTATTGAGGGATCAGAAGGTATCCATAAGGTTCCGGTTGATCCATATCCTCCTCTGGGTTTATTTTAAAAGGCTGGCTTACTATTTACTGGAGTGAGGGTATGTAATTCAGCCACTTAGATGTATACACTGAGTGTTCACGGAGAAGCATGTACTGTATATTACTATCACACAGAGTGTTTCACTATCACGTGTTTTCACGGTTTATCATGTGCTTTCGCGGTTTTTGCGTTTTGCACAAAAATAATGAGGAATTTTTTTGGAAATAATTTTTTTGGTGATTATTGATGAATTTATTAGTTATTTTGTGAGGATAATACACTATTGAGTTTTCTTTATTTTGAGGTGCACGGCATTTACTGGATTCATACGTCGAGTTTTTTTTAGAAATTGGAAGAAAGATTTATGGACTTTAATTTTGGGTTTTCACATAATAATTGTATGGACACTAAAAAGGTTTACTATTATTGATTTATACTTTCAAGGGTGAAAGTGGGATTTTCTTTAGTGTTCTTTCACAGGGTATTATAGAGTGTATATATTTTTTTGGACACCGATTCATATTTATAATATAGTGGGAGTTGGATGAGACTGTTTGGAGCTGGGAAACCGAGGCACCATCTTAGAAGGAGAGCAATTGAACATGCCATGGCTTGGATTTCCATCTAACAGTGCCGTGCACCATCTTGTGCTGGCCGGGGTTGGCTGCAAGGTATAGGGTAGCTGCAGGTGAGTTTTAGAAAGCCAGGTGGTAACTGTGAGTGGGTGTGTGGTCACCGAGTGGTGCAGAGCCTCAGAAAGACATGTCCAGTCCGAGAGGCTTCGCACATACACCCATTGTGCATACAGTTTTGACATTTTATTAAAGCAATGCAGCATGGTACTGTGTAAAAAGAAACTCACAAATTAGATACACTATTAAACTGTTTTTCCTTTGGCCAATCTAACACATCTTGGTTCTGCCGGGTATGGCTGCAAGGTATAAGGGTGCTGCAGGTGATTATAGAAAAGGCCAGGTGGTAACTGTGAGTGGTGTGTGTCACCGAGTGGTGCAGATGGCCTCAGAAAGACATGTCCATGAATTTGAAGTTGAGGAATTTACATCTATGTATAATTTATTTATTTTAAGAGTAAACATTTATATAGATTTTACATCTGTTGTGGCTCCTATGTCCACTCTTCAAAGTATGCCTAGATACAAATTCACGTATCACAGCCAAAACTACCTAAAAAAGCCATTTTGTCCCAATTCAGATTAATCAGATTGGGGCGCTAGTGCAGTATTTAAGCCAAGCTAAATGTAAAGGTTAAAAAAGAATAAAATAAAATTACACATCCAAAATATGTGATACCAGAATATGTCGTTGCTGACTCTGTCTGTGGAAATTATCCTGCTCTGTAAACACCACATACAGCTTAAAGCATGTATAGCACACTGCCCTATTCAGGCTAAATTTAGTTTTTGGCTCTGCTGGGCAACAATCTATTTTCCAGTTCTGGACAGGTTTCCCCAAACCTAGTGGTTGATTGCTCCTTTCTGCCTCTGGAAGAAGCCCCCAAAAATAGGAGTAGGACAGTCAGCCACTGAGTTATGAATATCTATCTGACCTCAACCAATCCCTGGGATGGGGAAAACAAAAGGTGGGTAAATGTTTGGGATGCTTGTTCTCCTGGGGCTGACGACCCTGGGAGGCAGCTGGTGTACTGAAGAGCTGTTGTTAGGCCTCATTATGTACTTGGCTGGAGACCTAAAGGAACTTGGAATGAAAGATATTTGCTGGAGGACATCACCTGTGGAAGCTGGGCTGGAGAAGGACCTTCTCTCTCACTGAAGAGTGTCCCATGGAAGCTGGGTGGACAATAGCTTTCCTTGGACATTGTGAGTAGGACCCTGACCTAGGACTCCAGGTGTGCATGTGCTTTTGTGGTTAATGCCAGGGGATACTGTAAGGACTGGGACTGCTTGCGCAGAGTTTCAGATTAGCTGGCTATCCCCTCTACCTCCAGCAAACATTGCTGCTAAAGGACATAAGAATCCAGCCTTCTGTACTCTCTTTTTCGGAGTATCCTGCCCTCTATTCCCTCTCCCCTGCTCTAATACTGCAAGAAATCTTCAAAAACTGGTGTCTTGGCCTGGCAGGCCTCTGATTAAGTAAGAGTTACCAGGTTATTCTTAGCAGCCTCTTCAATAGTATGCGCCACACGTGGTGGCTTTTATTCCAGGATATTCAATAAAAGTAATTGCTCATAGCAACTGACAGAAGACTGTGGATTTTGTAGTGCTTTTGTGGATTGCTCTTTTGCTGGTCCTTGCTTGTGCAGGGTGAGATCACCCAAACTTCTCCCAATGTGTTTTGGTGGATTCCTGGAAGAAATCACGTGACTGTGATGAAACTCTTTGGGCAGAGTTTGGGTGACGTAATCACGCACGGGCAAGGATGTAATCAGTGCTTGTATGAAACTAAACTTGCTGTAGATGAAACATTGGTGGCTCTATTTACTGCACTTTTACTTGTGTGCACTGGGAATAAGTACAAAATAGCTAAAAGATAACTGGTGTGATTGAAGGCTACATGGGTGCCAGTATCCCAGAAATAGTCTATCCAATAAATTGTGTCTTGGGTGTATGGGGCTTTCACGGCACCAGATATAATTCAAACACCAACAAATATTATAAAAACAGTTTATTACATCTATATTACAGAACATAACACCATATCTCAAAAAATAACTGTAGGCTTGGACCATAGGGAACAGAGTTCCATATGCAGCTCCCATAAGTTCAAGTGTAACAATCTTGAGGCTTTCAACACATTTTGAGTGTCACTCTAGCTTAGAAGCATACATATAAAAGCTCATAGGGAGGTTAGCAGATACAGATGGAAGTTAAAAACAATAAGCCTAGTGTTGTGGTGGAGCAATCCCATGATGAAAGGGTCCCAAGAGGGGAAAAGGGACAACTATGAATGCAAAGAACCAAATGGCAGCTGAGAGATCTTAAGCCCAAAATGGATCCGTCCAAGAGTATGGCTGGCCACAACACTCCAACACCAGGAAAGATGCAGATATTTGCACAGGTGTGTGTGGATGCAGGTGTATGGCCCTGAGCATAGACAGTATGGATCTGGGGTCACTAACCAGCACACCTGTCAAATTATGACCTGTGGCTGTGTTCATACATAGAGTAACAGGTGACTCCTTAGAGTAACAGGTGACTCCAACTCTACAAAAAAAAGCCCTTCGTTTTTAAAATTATTGTTTACAATTTTTACATTTCTTTTCACAATTTGTTGTATTATTTGTTTTTTTTCACAACACTGGGTGGAGGGGGGTTGGGAACATTTTAGAGATCTGAACAGATCCCTGATGTCTCACTTTTGACACAGTCCTCAATCTCTATCTCAACAGACTAAGCTGCACAGAATGAATGCACAGGAAGAGCTCCACATTAAGTCCCCCTGTTCATTTACAAACTGAAACATAGATAACGCAATTTTCTATGCTTCAGTTATAAAAGAACACAGTGAGTGGTCGGTACTGATCACTCACTGTGTTCATTCAGAAAAGGAAGGGGCAAGTAAATACGGTATAATTACAAGCCACCATCCTGACACCAATCCCCACCAATCCTGACTCCTGACAGTAGCCGGCTACTAGAGGGAGCATAAGGGAAGCTGGCAGCGCTGTGAAGGAGCAGACAGGGGGACCCAGGAAGCACATGTAAGGGAAAAGGAGGAGAAACTGGCTTTCAGCTGCTGCGGGGTGGGGGATCGGTGCCAGTAAATTTACTTCCCTGCCACACCAATCACCTCCTGTACAGGATGATTTCCCCTGTTTGTCAAACTGCATGGGTCTTCCTGTTGAACTGATGGAACTGGAGCACAAAGATCGCAGTGGGTCTTTAATTGTTGGCTGGTGCATGCAGAGGTTAATAGTGTTTGTGACATATCTTCCCCTGTATCTGCATCACTTTCCCTTTTGAAAGATATATATTGTGGCAGTGCGGTGTCCTGCCACGGTCAAACTCCAGTTGAAAACCCTGGATTCTCAACCAGGCAGGTTGAGGGGCTCCAGAGAGTTTATGTATTGCAGAGGAAACTGACTTTTCGGTTTCCTCATTTATTTATTAAGTTTGTTTTGGGATCTGGAGCCTGGAGATTTCGAAGAGATCTGGGAGGGATGAAATCTCCAATCCGGGGTCCGGGTTTTGAGAACCCCCAGCACAGTGATTGCACAGGTGTGTGCAGGCCTTTTTATAGAGTCCTGACCATAGTTCTGGGCTCCACCCCAGCAGTTAGGAGTCAGGGGGCTCCACCCCGGCAGACAGGAGGTCTCTGCCGTGGAGTCAGGTGGGCTACACCTAGGAGAGGTGGAAGCCAAAAGCACAGCTGTGTGCTAAAGGTTTTTGCAGGAGGGCTCTGATTTGCTTGATGATGGATACCCCTGCGTAGTGGGCAGCCCTGAAAAGAAAGCGAGTTGCTGTGTGTTTTGAAGAAGAGCTCTACACTTGAAAGTTCCCACAATATATATATATATATATATATATATATATATATATATATATGTATATACAGTCAAGTCCATAAATATTGGGACATCAACACAATTCTAACATTTTTGGCTCTATACACCACCACAATGGATTAATAAATTGAAACAAACAAGATGTGCTTTAACTGCAGACTGTCAGCTTTAATTTGAGGGTATTTACATCCAAATCAGGTGAACGGTGTAGGAATTACAACAGTTTGCATATGTGCCTGCCACTTGTTAAGGGACCAAAAGTAATGGGACAGAATAATAATCATAAATCAAACTTTCACTTTTTAATACTTGGTTGCAAATCCTTTGCAGTCAATTACAGCCTGAAGTCTGGAATGCATAGACATCACCAGATGCTGGGTTTCATCCCTGGTGATGCTCTGCCAGGTCTCTACTGCAACTGTCAGGAATGGACTGGCCAGCAATGGTGGGACTCACCTGCCGTATGGGCTGCAGTACCAGGGCTGGCCAGTGGGTGCTCCCAGCAATCAGAGACTCAACCCTGCAGCCAGCCAAACACCTGAAACTGCTTATGCAGGTGTATTTAAGGGATGGCCAGACCTGCAGACTCTGCCTTGGTGTGTGTGTGTTTTTCCTGGGCCCTGTATCTTGTTCCTGCATCCTGTTCCTGTTCCTGTTCCTGTCTTGTTGATGACCCTGCTTGATCTGGACCTCTGCTGACTTCTCCTGTTCTGATCCCTGGCTTGTGACCCCGACCATTCTCTGCCTGACCCCCCTGTACCTACCTGCCTGTTAGTTGCTGTACCCAGCTCGTGACCTGACTACTCTCTGCCTGCTCCTCCTGCTCCTACCTGCCCATTTGTTATTGACCCGGCCTGCCTGACGACGCTTGCATTGTATGTATTGTTATCTGTGGGTGGTTTGGTTCGTTTGCACTGTGTTCTGTTTTAGTATTGCACTGCGTTTATGTTTGTATTGTTAGTCTTGAATAAATTATATTGTTTATAACTTATCTGAAGCCTGCATTTCCCTGCATCAGTCACATACCTCTGGTCACACCCCGGAGCCCTGACAGCAACTGTCTTCAGTTCCTGCTTGTTCTTGGGGCATTTTCTCTTCAGTTTTGTCTTCAGCAAGTGAAATGCATGCTCAATCGGATTCAGGTCAGGTGATTGACTTGGCCATTGCATAACATTCCACTTCTTTCCCTTAAAAAACTCTTTGGTTGCTTTTGCAGTATGCTTTGGGTCATTGTCCATCTGCACTGTGAAGCGGCGTCCAATGAGTTCTGAAGCATTTGGCTGAATATGAGCAGATAATATTGCCAGAAACACTTCAGAATTCATCCTGCTGCTTTTGTCAGCAGTCACATAATCAATAAATACAAGAGAACCAGTTCCATTGGCAGCCATACATGCCCACGCCATGACACTACCACCACCATGCTTCACTGATGAGGTGGTATGCTTAGGATCATGAGCAGTTCCTTTCCTTCCCCATACTTTTCTCTTCCCATCACTCTGGTACAAGTTGATCTTTGGTCTCATCTGTCCATAGGATGTTGTTCCAGAACTGTGAAGGCTTTTTTAGATGTCGTTTGGCAAACTCTAATCTGGCCTTCCTGTTTTTGAGGCTCACCAATGGTTTCCATCTTGTGGTGAACCCTCTATATTCACTCTGGTGAAGTCTTTTCTTGATTGTTGACTTTGACACACATACACCTACCTCTTGGAGAGTGTTCTTGATCTGGCCAACTGTTGTGAAGGGTGTTTTCTTCACCAGGGAAAGAATTCTTTGCTCATCCACCACAGTTGTTTTCCATGGTCTTCCGGGTCTTTTGGTGTTGCTGAGCTCACCGGTGCATTCCTTCTTTTTAAGAATGTTCCAAACAGTTGTTTTGGCCACGCCTAATGTTTTTGCTATCTCTCTGATGGGTTTGTTTTGTTTTTTCAGCCTAATGGTGGCTTGCTTCACTGACAGTGACAGCTCTTTGGATCTCATCTTGAGAGTTGACAGCAACAGATTCCAAATGCAAATAGCACACTTGAAATGAACTCTGGACCTTTTATATGCTCATTGTAATTGGGATAATGAGGGAATAACACACACCTGGCCATGGAACAGCTGAGAAGCCAATGTCCCATTACTTTTGGTCCCTTAACAAGTGGGAGGCACAAATGCAAACTGTTGTAATTCCTACACCGTTCACCTGATTTGGATGTAAATACCTTCAAATTAAAGCTGACAGTCTGCAGTTAAAGCACATCTTGTTTGTTTCATTTCAAATCCATTGTGTTGGTGTATAGAGCCAAAAATGTTAGAATTGTGTTGATGTCCCAATATTTATGGACCTGACTGTATATATATATATGAGAAGTCATCCTTGTGGTGCAATTTTGAGTATAGGAATGTGATGTGAGTACTCCCTGTGTTATGTGAACTATTTCCCAGCAAAGGCACCCTTTAAAGGGATGCAATTGCCGGCTACCATGTGGAAGGACTTCCCATGTATGGACTTTCCTAACAAAGGTAAACTAGAGGGAAAAGCAGAGCCAAATTTAATGAAATACACAGCCAGATGAATGTAAGCATCAGTTCAGTGACAAGGAGTGTTATATACTACATCACTTGCAATGCACAAATATACTCAGTACAAGTTCTTATCTGAATAAGATGTTATCTGGCCTCCATCTCTAACAGTGGTTAACAATTGTGTTACAGCTAAAGTGTATTCTTGGTGTATCTTAAGAACTGAGGAGTTGACAGTTAAAAAGCCATGGTTAACACTCTGAGTTATGAACAAGGAGTGAACATTACAGTTAATCTTATGGTTAGGAAGATGTGAGCAGAGAGAAGCAGCCAGCTCTCAGAGAAAGTGGGGACAATGGCTGGTGATGATGTTTCTGGTAGTAAGGAGTAGCTTAATACTTCATGAACCTCAGCTAGTGGCATGGTCTCCTTGCTGGAGCCCACTGCGGTACAGAACCCTTTTAGGGACTGAGTCTGGAAGTCACTGTGTGCAAGGGCTTGCGACGTAAAGTCTAGTGGTTTCCCGCTGTGCCTATGGGCAGAATACAGTTAATGGTGCAGTGTGATGAATCAGAACAAGATGATGGATTTATGTGCCTTTTGTCACTTTCTCAAAATGACTTCAGAGTCATGTGCCAGGATCAGACCATGTTTCCAGCTGAAGAGGAGACACAGTCCTTCTAAAATTGTGTGTGGTGCCCTGAAGTGTAATGAGGCTTCTAGCCTGAGGGAGGCATCAACCCACACTGAAGAAATTGAAGCCTGTAACTCAGATCCTGGGATCCCTATTAGTATAGGTCATCTTCATCTTTTATAGATCAATCAGGTTAGGCTGACACCTCCACTATGTCCCCAAAGCTCCTATATCCACTTCTGATATTTTTGTCAGTTTGTGCAGAATTAATGGAGCATTCTGCTTGCAGGGGATCTAAGCGTACTCTGGAACCATCCACAGGAGAGCCAGATTCTGGCCCTACTCGCTCTTCATTTCTAAGTGTGCCTGTGGCCCTTATTATCCCTTGATTCAGATAGTAGAGAATATATGTAAGAAATTCCATATGATTCAGATTTACAAGGAGTTGTTTCAAACTTAATTATTGCAGTACGTTCTGCACTGCGTTTTAGAGGTCTTATGGCTGGAAAGACCTTCCCAATATACTCATTTTTTAAAACATTCTTCTATGAGGACTGTAAAGAGCCTATAGCATCAAGGGCCCCTCTAGTGGCAACCTTAATTTGTGAAACCATGTCACTTTGGATCAAAACCCTTAACCTCCCTGGCGGTATGATTATTTCAGATTTTTGGTGCTGAAAGCGGTACCATTTTTTTGCATGGAAATATGTATTTTTTTTATTGTAGGCTGTAATTTTTAGAAAAAACTCACTGAAATCTGTCCGAACAAGAGTCTAGTAAACATCCCGGGTATGATAAAATTTGAAACACAAAATCATAAATTATAATTTAATAAATAATCATAAAAATAATATAAAAATAATAAAAAATTTAATTCAATAATATAATCAAACCAAAAACACTGAAATGTGAAATAGAGCGCCAAGTTCGCACATTGCTGAGCTCAGTCGCGAAATCATTTTTCAGTTTCTGATGACGAATTTCCCCCACGAATCATATATCACTCAATTCTGCAAGTGGTTCTGATTTACTATCGCTGTTCTCTAGCTGATCTAAACCGCTTTTGACCTAAAGGGACACTTTTTGGACGCCATGGACATTTCTCAGTTTCCAGGCAGAAAGAACAGACAAAATGCAGGCAGGGCACAGGACAAAGCACTAGGGACAATATGTATGTGAAATGGGATGAAACAGCAATGTTTTACTGTGTAAAATGTATTAAAAAAAAAAAAAAAAAAAATGACATTTTTTAAAATTTTTAAATTTCCCGCCGCCGGCGGCGCCTGTACGTCCCGACGTCACAGGGACAGGACACAGAAGCCGGATGCCGGCATCGGCCGGAGGAGATGGCCGGGGATGCTGCAGGGGACACATCGTGGGAGCGCAGGGTAAGGTAAGTGAAGAACACATGCCGGAGCAGCACCGCATGGTATTCCCGAGTGTAGCTCGGGGTTACCGCTTTTGGTACTGAAATGTTACCCCGAGCTACACTCGGGAATACCGCCAGGGAGGTTAATATGGACCACTCCATCAGAATCAAAATAAGCCCTTTTGGCCGAGTGTGTACAGGTATAAAAGGAATGCGTCATTCCCAATTGGGCAGCACAGTGGCTAAATGGTTAGCACTTCCGCCTCACAGTACTAGGGCCGTTGATTCAAATCCCAGCCATGGCACCTCCTGCCTGGAGTTTGCATGTTCTTCCTGTGCCTGCCTGGGTTTCCTCCAGGTACTCTGGTTTCCTCCAACACTCCAAAGTGTCTGATTTATAAAGTTTTTTGTTTTTTTTTTAAATGACTCTCAGTGTACTTTGCACATATAATACTGCTTTCAGAAATATAAGTGTCAACAATTTATTTTTTGTGAAAAATCAGTCAAAAAAGGGAAAAGGGAATGGGATTTTATTGGCGCTGATGTCTTCTCTCATAACAAATTTTGAAAACATATTATCATAAAATCATTAGGTTTTAGTACAAAAAACCAACAAGGACAAGGTGGTGTTGGCTCAATTCTCCCATACTGTGCTCTTGGAGGGGACTTGGGTTCCACCAACTGCTTCTGTGGTGGCAGCCCTGCCTGTTCTTGTATGGCCATGGCGGTGGGAGGGGCATTCCACTGCTGTTCCCACCATCACATGCATGCGCAACCTTGATCAGCACATATGTGGTGATGCATGCACTTGAGACACCAATCTATGGGATCATGATGCCATGGGCTGCTCGCAGGGGGAAGGAAATGCTGTTCGTCCATTATTTAATGCTCAGCAGATGTGCATTGAGGGATGATATCTCCTCCCTGGAATTTGGAGCGGAGTTCATTGTAGCATGGGAAGGTATGTTTTTTTGCCATCTGGTGTTTACTTTGGTCCATATCTTTCTGATGGTATGCTGACCAGCAGGTCATATCTTTTTTGATTGGGGCTTCTCCTTGATCTCTATACTTAGTTGTCACAAATAATTAGATGTGAAGCCCCTTTGGACCCCAGTTGTTGTATGGGTCAAGCCTGCTGGATGTTATCTATCCATACAGGTAGTACACACATACATTTTATTTGGTCAAGCTAACAAATCCCATATATATATAAATATATATATATATATATATATATATATACTATTGGTTAGTTGGTTAGTATATACACACACACAATGTTGCTGATTAGCTTGCTTTCCTTATAGTATCCTATGCAAGTTTATGTATGGTGACAATAGAGGAGCGCCACTCTTTCCAGTT